AAAGACAAAAGTTTTGTTGATAAATTTGCAGTGTAGATATACCCTTTGTTTCAAAGCTTGGTTCCCAAGCCAGCCACTGGAAAAATACTGATCTCCCATGCTGGAGTTCTGGTCACATGTCCCTCTAGTGTCACAGCAGCCATAACTTAGAGGCTTTCTGTAGCATCCTCAGGAAGGCTCACCTTCTAAGGCCTATTGTTTTCTCCTAATGGCTCATTAACCTGAATGGGTCCTTCCTAGCCAGCCATCTAGACTGAGAGCCTTTTGTCTAGTGGGTGTTCCCCATGTGTAAACACATTTGTAATATAGATGCATAGTCAATATTCCTAACTTCAGATACAAAAATGATACATGCATACAAATAGGATAATCATATTCAGTAAATCATAACCTTTTCAATGATATCTCACATAACCTATCTTGCATACAATACATCATAATTATGCCATAATCACATATCACTATGAAGAATATGGGGTGCAGTGTCACAGTCGCGTTCCAGGAAATCCTTGTGATGACTGTTTTGTGCAAGACTATATTGCTATTCTGGATTTACATTAACACTGGACTGCACAAACACTGGGTGAAAGCACTCCCAAGATTTTAAATGCTGGAAGATTCCAGGTGTAGGACTCTTTATTGATAGTTCTCCTACTGTGTTAAAAGATGAATAAAATTATATTCAAATAGGTTGAGAATTCTTCTCTTTGAACAATGGAACACTTCTGTTAAGTTAAAATTTACTAAGATTCAGCCATTTTATGAAGAGTAATCTCAATTCTTACTCACCACCTTGTATTTTAGGAGTACTATACAAACAGCATTCAGTCCACATCTCTCACCCTGTGAAGTGGGGAAAATATCCCCATTTTATAGATAGGGAAACCAAGACAAGCAGAAGTGATATGACCATCTTGAAGTCTGTCAGTCAGCCTTGGATTACAATGGCTTAAAACCATGTGTAGTCCACTTGAGCATGCTGTCTTGAAATATTGGTTAGTTTATTAGAAAATGCCCCTGTGACCTGAACACAAGATCTGGAAAGGGTTTAAAGTTTATTTGATACCAAGAACTGTCAGATATATAGGAGCCAGTAATTTTCAGAAGTTTGAATCCTTAAATTATTTTTAAGGGTTTCCATATACAGTATGCAATGAGTTTGCATGAGAGACTATTTTAGACACTTAAAAAAATAGAAACTACTAAATCCTTAGAAAAATGCAGTTTCTCTTCCTCATAGCAATTACCACACCCACTCATAATAATGTTGTTCCATGTAATAAATGTTGGGAGATTTCATGTAGGAGTCAAATAACTGTCCCTAGGTTTTGTAATGCTGTTTTATTACAAAAAAATCCTAAAAAAGTAAATTATCCCAGTGAAACAGGTTCCTGGCCCCAGGGAAAGCATTCTGAGGTCAAAGTCTGAGATTCTATTTGATTTGTAAAAATGATTAACTTTTTGTTTGTTCAAAATTTTTCTATTAATTAGTTGATTAGTCATAGAGCCATATCAAATATATTACTCTACTGTGTAGAAGTAAAAATTACAGCACTGGTTCTCAAACTTTGTACTGCTGACCCCTTTCACATAGCAAGCCTCTGAGTGCGACCCCCCCTTTATAAATTAAAAACACTTTTTTATATATTTAACACCATTATAAATGCTGGAGGCAAAGCGGGGTTTGGGGTGGAGGCTGACAGCTCGCAACCCCCCATGTAATAATCTCACAAACCCTGAGGGGTCCCAACCCACCAGTTTGAGAACCCCTGAATTACAGACTCTCTGTCTTACAAGAGTATTACTACTCTATTTGGGGCCATTGCTCTAGACTATAATAGTATCATTAGGGAACATTCAACAAACGGAAAAAATAGATGTACAATAACTTACACGCAGGAGCGCCACCAGCTTTTTTGTTGCTCTAGGTGGAGGAAGGTCCCGCCCCTGAAATACCACCCCCGACAGAAGCGGCGGAAGGTCCCCCCACCCCCCGAAATACCACAGCCGACTGGGGCAGCTGAAGATCCGGCCGCCGCTCCCCAAATGTTATCACCCTAGGCGACCGCCTAGGTCGCCTAATGGGTTGCGCCGGTCCTGCTTATACATAATACTGCATTTTAATGTATAAATCCTACCTCTCAGATACTTCAGTTAATGACTAAAGTAAAGATGATTTACACAGGTGTTTTTAGAAGTAGTGCTTTAATCTGGTGGAAAATCATACTTCCTTGACAATACATTCTCCATGAAACAAATTTATTTATGAACAATTGGCATGATACCTCCCCAATCTGGCACTATGTGAATAATAGCAAATGACCAAGTATTATATGGGAAACAAGATTAATTTATATCTATGTGGATGGGAATTTTGCCCCAATCCTACAGATTTATGAACCTACAGAACTCTAAACCCTGTGAGTAGTCCCACTGATTTTGGGGGTATTCACACTATATAAACAGTCTTTGGAGGACTGGATCTTTGTCAAGTAATTAGAGTAGGGGACTAACAGTTGTGTGATTTATTATTTGACCTAGGGTAAGGCTACTTCTGGATCTGAACTAGATCAGTCTGTCTTCGGTAGAGATGCTGTGCTAACCACCACAGTCAATATTGGAACAACAAGGAATCTGGTGGCACCTTAAAGACTAACAGATTTATTTGGGCATAAGCTTTCATGGGTAAAAACCTCACTTCTTCGGATGCATAGAGTGAAAGTTACAGATGCAGGCATTATATACTGACACATGGAGAGCAGGGAGTTACTTTGCAAGTGGAGAACCAGTGTTGACAGGGCCAATTCAATCAGGATGGATGTAGTCCACTCCCAATAACAGATGAGGAGGTGTCAATTCCAGGAGAGGAAAAGCTGCTTCTGTAATGAGCCAGCCACTCCCAGTCCCTATTCAAGCCCAGATTAATGGTGTTAAATTTGCAAATGAATTCACCACTGACCATCACATACAGCCCCCAGCTAAAACCTCTCCAGTGCATTATCCACGATCTACAACCTATCCTGGAAAATTATCCCTCACTCTCACAGACCTTGGGAGGCAGGCCAGTCCTCGCTTACAGACAACCCCCCAACCTGAAGCAAATACTCACCAGCAACTACACACCACACCACAGAAACACCAACCCAGGAACCAATCCCTGTAGCAAACCTCGTTGCCTACTCTGTCCCCATATCTACTCTGGCGACACCATCAGAGGACCCAACCACATCAGCCACACCATCAAGGGCTCATTCACCTGCACATCCACTAATGTTATATATGCCATCATGTGCCAGCAATGCCCCTCTA